TAAACGCATCAAAACAAACCATTGGGAGCTCTTATAAAACACCTGAGTTGATCAAACGTTGAATAATAGCTTCCAGAGTTGTACAAGAATGTAGTTGTATTGCCTTTTTGGTTAAACGCTTCAAAAGCTGCTTGGAGCACTCTTAAATGATTGTTTACGTTCGGTTAAACTGTTTGACAGGAGCCATACAGGATGTGGAATAAACGCATCAAAACAAACCATTGGGAGCTCTTATAAAACACCTGAGTTGATCAAACGTTGAATAATAGCTTCCAGAGTTGTACAAGAATGTAGTTGTATTGCCTTTTTGGTTAGAAGCTTCAAAAGCTGCTTGGAGCACTCTTAAATGATTGTTTACGTTCGGTTAAACTGTTTGACAGGAGCCATATAGGATGTGGAATAAACGCATCAAAACAAACCATTGGGAGCACTTATAAAACACCTGAGTTGATCAAACGTTGAATAATAGCTTCCAGAGTTGAACAAGAATGTAGTTGTATTGCCATTTGGTTAAAAGCTTCAAAAGCTGCTTGGAGCACTCTTAAATGATTGTTTACATACGGTTAAACTGTTTGACAGGAGCCATATAGGATGTGGAATAAACGCATCAAAACAAACCATTGGGAGCTCTTATAAAACACCTGAGTTGATCAAACGTTGAATAATAGCTTCCAGAGTTGTACAAGAATGTAGTTGTATTGCCTTTTTGGTTAAACGCTTCAAAAGCTGCTTGGAGCACTCTTAAATGATTGTTTACGTTCGGTTAAACTGTTTGACAGGAGCCATATAGGATGTGGAATAAACGCATCAAAACAAACCATTGGGAGCTCTTATAAAACACCTGAGTTGATCAAACGTTGAATAATAGCTTCCAGAGTTGAACAAGAATGTAGTTGTATTGTCATTTGGTTAAAAGCTTCAAAAGCTGCTTGGAGCACTCTTAAATGATTGTTTACGTTCGACCAACCACCAACCACAATTTTGTTGCTAAAAATAGCACAAGTGATAGGCACGTTTATATGACCATAAGGCAATGATTATTCGACTGCAAGAGAAGTCACTCAAGATGAGCTTCATATACTTCTCTCATATGATCAAAATATGTATTCAAGAATAGAGCAGATGGAAACAGAAGCGGCTGGCAATCCGGGATCATGAGTTCGAATCTTGCTTCGAGAAACCCTCGGTGGAGTAGAGGTAAATTATATATATAGGTGTTTATTAATAAATGCAAACATTAATTTAAGACATATATCATATAATCAACGATAACATTTCTAGATAAATTCTCTCAACTAATTATTAGAGAGATTAATTGAAAGAATATCAATCAAAGATTAAACCGATGCTTGTTACTACTTCCTCCATGATCACAGAATGTGAATTATGGCATAATTACATATTTTCTCAATGTGCTCAAATAAATTAAATTAATAAAAACTGTACAAGCAATTATTTTGGCGTACCACGACAATTGTTAAATTAATTTTAATCTGTGAATATTGTGAGTACTTACACAACGGTTATTAAGGAGTCATTAAAAAGTGCTATAAACGCTTTTCACCGCTTGCTGTACAATGATTATTTAGGAGTCATAAAAGAGTGCAACAAACGCCTCTCAGGTTCACTCTCTACTAAATTTCAAAGCAGCTGTCAAGAAGTGTCTACAAACGTTGTATAAGAGCTTTCACCAAAATAATAAAGCTTGAGTTTAAATATGTATCTATAAACGTTGTATAAAAGTTGCTTCTACTCCTATACCGCGTATACATATAATGCTGTAGTTGAACAGGTTCTCCAAACCAGTGTAAACAAGAGTTTTACAGCAGTTGTAATAAACAAATTGTACAGTTATTATTCAGCATGCAGTTGAATAAAATCGCAATGGAAGCGTTTCTTCAACAAGAAATTGATTTTGGGCAAACGTTTTACTGAATACGTTAGACAACACCTTTGTGTTGCAGTTGTATAGGTTCTCCAAACGAGTGTAAACAAGGGTTTTATAAAAGTTGTGGTGAACACATTGTGCAATTATTATTCAACATGCAGCTGAACAAAATCAAAACGAAAGCGTTTCTTCAACTGGAAATTGTTACTTGGGTCGAGACCTTAGCAATCATCTACTCGCTAAGAAAATTCCGCATTTATTTGGAAGGCATTCCATTCCGCATCATAACAGATTGTAACTCGCTCACGATGACTTTGAACAAGAAGAGTGTTAATGCTAGAATTGGAAGATGGGCAATGGAGTTGGAAAACTATCATTACACCATTCAGCATCGCAATGGTAAGCTTATGAACCATGTGGATGCTTTGAGTCGGCTTCCCTCTGCCAGCATTGTAACTTATGATAACTCTGACCAAGTGATTTCTGCAGTCAACTCAGATGATCTCGATGTTCAACTTCAAGTAACGCAGGGCCGTGATAAAGATATTATCGAGCTAAGGGAAAGGTTAGAGAATGGACCCGTTAAGCATTTCACTCTTGAGGATGGATTGGTGTATCGCAGTAGTAGAATTGGAAAACTTCAGTTTTATGTACCAAAAGAAATGAAGACACATGTTCTACGCAGTGTGCATGAGAAGTTAGGCCATATGGGAATTACAAAGACCCACACACAGATTCAGATGCATTATTGGTTTCCGAACATGAAAGCTGAAGTGGAGAAATATGTTAAGAATTGTGTACGTTGTATTGTTCATTCCGATCCTAATTCCGATAGTCGTGCTTTGTATAGTATTCCGAAGAATCCTGTTCCTTTCGATGCCATACATATTGATCATTTTGTCCTTGACCAATGACCAAATAATACTCTTTAACAAATTTTTGGTGGCCCTGAAAAGGACCGTTTTGAGCTGGGTGTTCAACACGGATGAGGCTGTCGAGCTGTATGTCGTTTGGAGCGAGGGTGACACGCAGCGACTCACGAAGAGCTACTGATTCCGATCCATAGCGAAGCGGTGCAGCTTCTTCCTCCTTTGATGGTTGCTTATGTGGGTTCTGCAGCTCGCTGCTTACAGGCAGCCTTTCGTTGTTACTGGAGAACAATTTTCAACGCCACACGCCGAAAGCACTGCTACTGCTGCTACTAATTTCGACGACCGAACACCACCACACAGTGGTGTGGTCGTTGGGAGCGTGTGGTTCTGAGTATGGCGATGAGTGTGCAAAATATTACACAATTCCATACTTCCTATTCGCACGCGCCCGAGGATCGGAGGCGAATGCCACTACGACTTGTTTCGTCTACTTACTACTCTCTGACGACTGTGCTGAGGAAGCAGCATATGCATGTAGGTAATTGGTGGATTTGTCAGTTAATTCGACGCTTTTGATCAATGCTGGACAGTTACCAGTTTTTCAATAGTTTCTTGTTGAAAATCAACATTCGTAAACATTGTTATCGATGCGTAGCGATGAAATTGGACCAGGGACAGCTGAGTTATTAACGTTCAAAATCTTTCTTAATTTGTTACATGTTCCATTTTCGGTTTTCACAAAGTGTACCCCCATATAGAAATCAAAGACGTAGTCCTACGTAAAAAAAAACTGCAGAAGTCTATTCATCATCCGCTATAGTCGGTCTCCAATAATGTTCCCCACCGGTTCCAACTCTTTTCAGTCGCTGATAGACCTTTGCTTTCTAGGCTACCTTTGAGGGCATTATAAAACCCTAAAACACAGGACTTTTATCATCCTATGAACATGAAATACCAACATTTCGCACACCCGCCACTTCCCACGTCATCCTTAATCCGATTTATTCTTTCGATTTCAAACCAAAACATTCAAGGTGTCAGAAATACCGGGTTGTCGGGATGGGTATTTTACAAACAATCGCAGCTTGCTCTACGACCGGCACACTGTCAAAAAAGATGACCCAAGATTGGTGTGCGGGATGACCAACCAAATGTCAAATGGACAAAAGGTCCAACAGGGCTACAAAATGGTGAATTTACAACCTGGAAGGAGCGGAATACCTAGCTCTGGTACTCACAAGTTCCTACCTCACGCCTCCCCGAGTCATATGATAACAAAAGACTACCAGCCCCAAGTAACATTTTAAGTTTTAAGACTAGAATATGTTTAGTTGGCCCAGCCTGGCGAAGGTTCTGAAGTTTGTATTCTCGAAGTTCTTCAAGATTGATTTACTGCAAAAGTTTGTACCGTGGACCCCCACGGTACCGGTAATATGACCGGTTTTAATCTGAACACTTTTTAATTTGAACCCCGCTTATCTGCACGGCGTGCAAACTAAAAATTGCCTAAACGTCATTTTGCTCATGGAACGGAGTAAAGCGAAATGGAACATTGTAAAACGGAACGCAGAATCAAAACAAAACAGCAAATAAGGCTACCATGCAGAAACACGCTGATAGGGTTACTAGAAGTTCAAATAAAAAATTAATCCCGTTAATATGAATAAGGTGTCGTTCAGATTAGCGGGAGTCCACGGTATGACGAAAGCTACAATAAAAGCTATTTAGCAACAATAAAAACCCTTTCCGAGCCATTTCCCCTAGCCGCTGGCTAAATCCACTACGAAAACATCAATCAAGATAGAAAAGGATTTATGAATCCGATCTTATCAAAATAATTAAAATAGAAACTGATGGAATAAAAATCTTGTTGAATATCGAAATTTATTTCAATAGTTCTCTTTAAGTGGCCTAGTTTTATGTGCTTTATTAAATTTTATGTTAAGCGTACTTGAAAACATCGAAAAAAAATAAGTACGCCCTCGTAAAACTTCGATTTGACTAATTATTTTAGATTGAAAAAAAAATATTCTTCAGGTCATGGTATTTGAGAAATTTACAGTAAAAAGGGGGGTTGTTATCTTATGCATCTCAACAATAAAAAAAGTGACTTTTCTCGAACAAATCTATTTTTTCTCCCGTACAATAATTTAGCAATAAATTTTAATGCACTCGAAATTCAACAGTAAAAATCATTGTAAATTCGTTGTTTTATTAATAATTTTTTTGGGGTAAATGATATAATCCATTTCCACTGTCTGATCGAACGCGAGGTGTCAAACTTTGTTCCGCCTTTGCTATCCACAGAAGAATCAAGCATCTTATCAAACGTCGCTGCTGCATTTATGTTGATGGTCTGAAGTACAGCTTCTTAGTCAGGGTGGAGTAGAAGCTAGGAATCTGTTTCTTCCTATCATACTCTCCGTCGGAATTGCTGATCCGTTTGGCTACGGCATCATTCGTTTCCGTCAGAATGTCATACATAGAATCCGTTTCCAGATCACAGCTTTCGATTACAGTGCACAGGTCCTGAATAAACCAGCTTCCTAGAAGTTCGTTCCGGAATGAGTAGTGACCTGAAAAGTTAAGCTTGATTTATACTGCATGTCCAACCAGAACAAATCAGCGACTGAATTCAATTGACTCAGAGCATTTTCTTTCCAAACGAAATTTACGCATATTTGGCGAAACCTGCAATTACTGATAGCTTATGAGTAACTGCAGGTTTTTCCAAAATATGAGTGAATTTCGTATGGAAAGAAAACGCGCTGAGTCAATTGAATTCAGTCGCTGAGTTGCTCTGGTTGGCCGTGTATCCAGCTTTCCATGCTCGGTAATGGCGGCCTGTTTGTATGAATAAATGTATCCTTCACTGTGCTTTTTGACACTATCTGGATGTTCGGATTTTGATCCCTCCCTTTCCCTCTCCCAGGAACAGAAGAAAATGGAACAACATACGCCCTCCAGTTAGTGTCAAAAAGTACAGTGAAGGATACATTTATTCATACAAACAGGCCGCCATTACCGAGCATGGAAAGCTGGATAAAGGATAAGGAAATTGCTACACGGAGTAGAGCCACTTCACGCCAAATGACGAAACGATTAAACTCAACCTTCTTTGATTTGCATGAAACTTTGCAGTTTGTTTGTTTGTCTACATACATGTTTCGCCAAAGCATGTTTTAGTGCGAATGAAAACCCAGCAGAGTCATACAAACTATGCTGGTTTTTATACTTTCATCACTGAGGTTGTTGGTTTTTGCCTTTGAGCTTAAAATTTAGAATTTGTTATGAAAAAGTATGGATCAGTTTTATGAGAGTACAATGCTTGACGATAGATAAGAACAGTAGCTGCAGTTGTTGCTTCTGATTGGTTGGCTTCCGTTTGACAGTTCATACTGGCTCCCTGAGTGAGTTATGGGCAAGCATTCAATTTGTTGCTATAATGCGGCCATTTTGGATCTTGTATTTTTTTTTTTTCAAAATGGCATCCACGGTTTTTTTTAAATAAATTTCAATATAAAACATGAGGTATTCTTAACGAAATGACGCCAAAGACAAAGTTGTAGAAACAAATGAAGTACTTTTAGGGAAAATATACACGGTAATTTTTTTTTAAATGATTTAGATATAAAAGTTAAAAAAGTGTTAAATACTTAAATATCTCAAAATGTTTGTTTCATTTGTATGGTAGCCCCCCTTTACAGAGGAGGGAGGCGTCTCGAACCATCATAAGAACCTTTCTCTGCCCCAAAAACCCCTGCATAAAAACAGACAGACAGACAGACAGACAGACAGACAGACAGACAGACAGACAGACAGACAGACAGACAGACAGACAGACAGACAGACAGACAGACAGACAGACAGACAGACAGACAGACAGACAGACAGACAGACAGACAGACAGACAGACAGACAGACAGACAGACAGACAGACAGACAGACAGACAGACAGACAGACAGACAGACAGACAGACAGACAGACAGACAGACAGACAGACAGACAGACAGACAGACAGACAGACAGACAGACAGACAGACAGACAGACAGACAGACAGACAGACAGACAGACAGACAGACAGACAGACAGACAGACAGACAGACAGACAGACAGACAGACAGACAGACAGACAGACAGACAGACAGACAGACAGACAGACAGACAGACAGACAGACAGACAGACAGACAGACAGACAGACAGACAGACAGACAGACAGACAGACAGACAGACAGACAGACAGACAGACAGACAGACAGACAGACAGACAGACAGACAGACAGACAGACAGACAGACAGACAGACAGACAGACAGACAGACAGACAGACAGACAGACAGACAGACAGACAGACAGACAGACAGACAGACAGACAGACAGACAGACAGACAGACAGACAGACAGACAGACAGACAGACAGACAGACAGACAGACAGACAGACAGACAGACAGACAGACAGACAGACAGACAGACAGACAGACAGACAGACAGACAGACAGACAGACAGACAGACAGACAGACAGACAGACAGACAGACAGACAGACAGACAGACAGACAGACAGACAGACAGACAGACAGACAGACAGACAGACAGACAGACAGACAGACAGACAGACAGACAGACAGACAGACAGACAGACAGACAGACAGACAGACAGACAGACAGACAGACAGACAGACAGACAGACAGACAGACAGACAGACAGACAGACAGACAGACAGACAGACAGACAGACAGACAGACAGACAGACAGACAGACAGACAGACAGACAGACAGACAGACAGACAGACAGACAGACAGACAGACAGACAGACAGACAGACAGACAGACAGACAGACAGACAGACAGACAGACAGACAGACAGACAGACAGACAGACAGACAGACAGACAGACAGACAGACAGACAGACAGACAGACAGACAGACAGACAGACAGACAGACAGACAGACAGACAGACAGACAGACAGACAGACAGACAGACAGACAGACAGACAGACAGACAGACAGACAGACAGACAGACAGACAGACAGACAGACAGACAGACAGACAGACAGACAGACAGACAGACAGACAGACAGACAGACAGACAGACAGACAGACAGACAGACAGACAGACAGACAGACAGACAGACAGACAGACAGACAGACAGACAGACAGACAGACAGACAGACAGACAGACAGACAGACAGACAGACAGACAGACAGACAGACAGACAGACAGACAGACAGACAGACAGACAGACAGACAGACAGACAGACAGACAGACAGACAGACAGACAGACAGACAGACAGACAGACAGACAGACAGACAGACAGACAGACAGACAGACAGACAGACAGACAGACAGACAGACAGACAGACAGACAGACAGACAGACAGACAGACAGACAGACAGACAGACAGACAGACAGACAGACAGACAGACAGACAGACAGACAGACAGACAGACAGACAGACAGACAGACAGACAGACAGACAGACAGACAGACAGACAGACAGACAGACAGACAGACAGACAGACAGACAGACAGACAGACAGACAGACAGACAGACAGACAGACAGACAGACAGACAGACAGACAGACAGACAGACAGACAGACAGACAGACAGACAGACAGACAGACAGACAGACAGACAGACAGACAGACAGACAGACAGACAGACAGACAGACAGACAGACAGACAGACAGACAGACAGACAGACAGACAGACAGACAGACAGACAGACAGACAGACAGACAGACAGACAGACAGACAGACAGACAGACAGACAGACAGACAGACAGACAGACAGACAGACAGACAGACAGACAGACAGACAGACAGACAGACAGACTCATGATGCTCATGAAAAATGAATTAGATTTTTATAAAATATTATAAAAACTTAACATGGACATTTCATAATATATGACTATTTAACACTTTTTATGGATTTTTACACAGAATTACTAAACAAAAACTACCACGTATTTTTTTTTTCAGGAACACTTGTTGCTCTACAACTTTGTATCTGACGTCATTTCGATAAAAAAGACTTATATCATAGAGGTAACTCCCCTTATACCCCGTACAGACTATGGCTTATATCATGTATGGCTTATATCATGTAATATAGGCTGTCTTGCAATGAGCACTCATACATCTAGTTTTCACTGGAAAACCTATGTATGAGTGCTCATAGTAAGACAGCCTATATTACATGAGATAAGGCATAGTCTGTACGGGGTATTTTAGTGATGTTTTCGTGCTACAATGTATTGAAAACCGTTAAAGACGTTATTTCATTATTCAAAATTGCCGAGTTTTGGCAAAACATCGAAAGATTCCCCATAACAAACCACTGTACAAAGTGTCATGCAAATCGGAGAAGGTCGAGTAAAAAATTCATTTTTGCTTGCTCTTTGGCCTGGAACTGCACAGTAGCAATTTCATATTTTTTGTATGTTTGGTGAAAGCTGACATTTGTGCTTTTGAAATTTCACGCTATGGAGTTATAACATGTTACAAGCGTATCTTGATGACAGTTTTCTTGTTGATAATTATTATAACACCCTTGTAACATGTTTTATAACTCTGTAGTCTGAACAAGCATAAGGCTTCCTTAGAGTACTAAGGTGCACGATTCGAATCGTTTCTCTCTCTTTCAAACAAAGCTTACCGTAGGAGGAACTCATGATAACAACCAGATCGGGAAATTCCGGATACGTGATAATCTCCGCCTTTTTGCCACAACCTGCTTGGATTATGAACAGTTTCGGTTTTCCAGCCATCGATTTCAAGGTAGTGGGAGCGAAATTTTCAATAAACTTGTACAAACTATACTGGTCATCTCTGGCCATCAACATGTTATTCTCTTCACCGCGTGTCAGTATCACCACCACTAAGCAATCGGATTTTTCCAGATCAACGTCGTTTTCCACTGCAAATTAAACCGATCACAGTAATCCGATCATCATATAACCGATTCACTACTCACGTTTTACCGCAATCCGGTTGATTTCGGTGCAGCCCTTGTTGTTGTACACTTCAATATCCTCCTTTTGGAATCCAAGTAGAGGCAAAACATGGTATAATCTTTCTACGTCTTTGTCCGTACCGGGTCGGGCCGGATAACGATCATATTGATCGAAAGTTTCATGATTGAATATTAACACCTTGCCACGTTTCGCCCCATTCATAGAGTACAGCTTAGCGTTCGAAGCAGTAGGTGTGTTTAGAAACACGGATCGCTTCCGTTTCGGAATCGGCCCAACAGGCAGGGTCTCGACCGGTTTCGATTCGTTAAATCCAACTGCATCTGCTTCATCACTACCGGACCCACTAAGGGTTGATTTTGCGTCCACCAGGTCCATCAGTTGCTCTTGCCGGAGGTTTACGGAGGTATCCATGGTTTTTTTTCCTTTCAGCAGAATCTGACTCACAAACAGCGTTGCCAGATCATTTTCAGAAAAATCTGAATCAGGTAAAATATAAAATCTGGAAAAATCTGGAATGCTCCAAACAATCCTCTTTTTAACATAATTCTATTGAAATCAAAGTGATGGGCCAATCTCCCGTAAAAATAGGTCAGAATGATAATCTGGAATTTATTTAAAGTACTAGAATGGTTATAAATTACATGTTTAATTAAATTAAATAAAGCAAATAACTTGTTAGCATTGCTAAAATCATCCAAAAGTTGAAAAGTATTGACACGGTGTGCCCAAAAAGTTCAAATTTCCATTACGCAGCATTTCAAAAATTGAGTTTTATGTGGGTAAAAAAACAGCAGAAAATATGGTTGGAATTGTTTTTTTAAACTGTAACTTTTTTAAAAAGAATGAGAAGCAAAGAATCAAGGAAATTTGATGAGATGGATTTTTTGAACTAATAGTCGATGTAGTCCTTACTGTTCAATGCAGTACCAGAGTTAAAATATTTTATTAGTTCTAAATAATTCTAATATTACTCTGAGGTTGATTAGATTTACAGTTTAATTCTTGAAAGATCATGATATCATCTTGGAAGTCTTCAAGGATATCTTCGCCTTTTTTTAGTTCAATTCGAATCATCCTAGAATTCCACCACATTTTTTCTATATTCCCCTAAAATAATCATGAAAATATCTAAACTTTTCCATTAGCATTCTAAGAGTTCTTAGCATTACCTCTTGTAATCTCTTATAAATCACTCTCCAATCCCACAACTCCCTCAAATTGGTAATAATTACCAAGAATTGGCTCATTTTTGTATCCATTTTCCTCTATGAAATTCTTAAAATATTCTTAACAATTTCCTTGGTACAATCTGCAGAATGACCGTCACACTGTCAGACTTATCCGATAACTCCCTTTAAACTTTAAACTGCTTTGTAGGTAATGTCAGAATTGTTTTGAAATCCTTTTCAGTATTACCTAAGTACGCAAGTACTTTGCCAAAATGGTTTTGAAAGTCTCCCAGAAATTGCGCTTAAAATTTCATTGAAATTATTCTCGCGATTCGTATCAGCATACTTCTTAAGTATCATCATAAGAATTTTCTATGATTTCTCTTACGGATTGTATTTCCTTTATTGACAAAATCTCCATGCAATTGTCATCAGATTTGACAAGACAACCAGAGGATGTACAGACTAAATATTTAACACTAGACAACGGACAACACTCCACATCCATTAGACCAGTAGGGAAATTTTCAGGTTGCCAAAATTTGCACCGGCTGGAGCGGGAATCGAACCGTCACTTCGTGGCACTCACAATACGCCTAAATTATGGGTGACGCCACACGACCCCGAAGCCCACAAAGATGGTTGTAATTCTACTCGGAAGTAGCTTGAAATTCTCCTTTGATTTCACAAAGAATTCGCCTCACATTTAACTGTGAACTATTTTCAGAATTACCTTAAAATTCCAATAATATTCAACGTGATGGCCTTTAATTATTAAAGTAGCAAGTTTGGCTTTTTATATTTTTATTAGGGAGTAAATTAATTTCAGTGATATTTTTAAAGCAACATGTTTAAAAAATCTGGGAAAATCTGGAACATATTTAAAAAATCTGGAAATATACGTGGTCTGTCTTTGTATCTGGCAAGACGATTAAAAATCTGGAAAATCCAGATAAATCTGGAATACTGGCAACGCTGCTGACAAACGAAATGGTTATGTGAACAGTGAACGGCTGATATCTGCGCATAATCTTGAATTTGCCGTGGACGGTGGTGGTGGTAATGGTACTGGTGTGGTGAATGGACCCGTGGATTTGTTATCAATCGACGACTTCAAAACTCGACGTCACTGGACTCGTGTTATCGATATTCGATAAAAAGCGAAAACAATTTGATGTGATTCCTGAGGCGGTGAATTACAATTTAATCTTTCAGTTCCTAAAAATTCGATAAGCCTGATTATGCGAATACGACTGTGATTTATAAATGGGAGCAAATCCAAAGTGAAGGCCGGCGCACAATAGATACGTTTTCAGGTTTTTCTACAGATAATGCATGGGCTAACTGTCAATAAAGCTGAAAACGTATCTATTGTGTGCCGGCCTTGAGGCTCGAAGCAAGCGTCGAAAGCTTCATTTGAAATCTTCTTCTTCTTCTTCTTCTTCTTCTTCTTCTTCTTCTTCATTCCTTTATTTAACGTTGGTCTCTGCTCCGCAATCTAGTGCCAATCACCGACGGACATCGATTGCCATCCATTGACGGCAATCGAATGTGCAGGAAGGCAGCTTTCCACACCTGCGTAGGATATCGCACCCATTCACAACACACATGGGCCGGGACCAACGGCTTTACTTCCCTTCCGAAGGAAGACGTGACCAGAGATTTTTATGCCTCAGAAAAATCCCACCGACCTCGGCTGGGATTGAACCCAGACCCATTGGGGTGTTAGAAAGCAGTCACGCTTACCACTACACCACCGGCGCCGGCTCATTTGAAATCGAATGAAATCACAAGGGGAAACGCACATATTTTGATCATATTTTGACACTATTTGACGTTGTTTACAAGTTTCAAATCGTATTCAGCTGGGTGCACATAAATATTGCCCACAAAACGCACCAATAGCCGGCGCCGGTGGTGTAATGGTAAGCGAGACTGCCTTCTCACCCCGAAGTGCACAAGCCGGCTACCCTGAGGAACTCCTGTTTTAACAGGTAGTCGATTAGATTTGGAATTTTGATAATTTACCTGCAGAGTTCTGTCAGTTAAATAATTTTGAACTAATTTCATAATATAAAGTGGAAAATTAAACTTTTTCAATTTAGCAATCAAACCTTCATGCCAAACACTGTCGAATGCTTTTTCTATGTCTAGAAGAGCAACTCCAGTTGAGTGGCCTTCGGATTTGTTTGAACGAATTAAATTGGTAACTTCTAAGAGTTGATGAGTAGTTGAATGCCCATGGCGAAATCCAAACTGCTCATCTGCAAAAATTGAGTTCGTATTGATGTGAAGCATCATTCTATTTAAAATTATCTTTTTTACTTATTGAAGAAAGCAAACTTATTGGGCGGTAGCTAGAAGCTTCAGCTGGATTTTTATCCGGCTTCAAAATAAGAACCACTTTAACATTTTTCCATTTATCAGGAAAGTATGCCAAATGGAAACATCTGTTAAATAATTTTACCAAGAAAGACAAGGTACTCTCTGGGAGTTTTTTGATGAGGATATAGAAAATTCCATCATCACCTGGAGCTTTCATATTTTGAAACTTTTTAGTTATAGACCTTACTTCGTCCAAATCAGTCCCCCAGGAATCATCAAAAATATTTTCCCGAGAGAAAATATTCAGAAAATCCCGAGCAACCTGATTCTCAATAGGACTAGTAAGACCCAAACTGAAATTATGGGAACTCTCGAATTACTTAGCAAGTTTCTGAGCTTTTTTTTTCAAATTTGTGATTAAAATTTTACCACCTTCTTTAAGCGCTGGAATTGGCTTTTGAGGTTTTTTCAAAAATTTTGTGAGTTTCCAAAAGAGTTTGGAACTCGGGTCTAATTTAGAAACATTATTTTCAAAAGTTTTGTTCCTCAGGGCAGAGAATCGCTTTTTAATTTGTTTTTGCAAATCCCGCCAGATAACTTTCATGGCAGGATCGCGTGTTCTTTGATATTGTCTCCTACGGACATTTTTAAGACGGATCAAGAGCTGAAGATCATCGTCTATTATAATTGAATCGAATTTAACCTCGCATTTTGGTACTGAGGCAGCTCTTGCTGCAACTATAGAAGTAGTCAGAGATTCAAGAGCATAATTAATTTCATCTTTGGTTTGCAAAGGAATGTTTGGATCGTAGTTATATTCCATAAATGTTCGATATTGCTCCCAATCAGCTCTATGGTAATTGAAAGTAGAGCTGTTGAGATTAGAAATTATTTCTTGGGATATTTCAAAAGTTACTGGAAGGTGATCAGAACCGAAGTCAGCATGGGTAACCAATTGGCTACAAAGTTGACATGAATCAGTTAAGACCAAATCAATAGTTGAGGGATTTCTTGCAGAAGAAAAGCATGTTGGACTGTTTGAATATTGAATAGTGTAATAACCTGCAGAACAATCATCAAACAGAATATTACCATTGGAATTGCTTTGAGCATTATTCCATGAGCGGTGTTTTGCATTAAAATCACCAATAATGAAGAATTTAGACCTATGACGGGTAAGTTTCTGGAGGTCACCCTTGAGAAAATTTTTTTGCTGGCCTACGCATTGGAATGACAGATAGGCAGCTATAAACGTAAGTTGTCCAAATTTTGCTTCAACAGAAACTCCCAAAGTTTCAAAAAATTTGGTTTCAAATGAAGAAAGAATTTCATGTTTGATTCGTCTATGAACAATGATGGCAACGCCACCACAGGGTCCATCAAGACGATCATTTCTATAAATTAAATAATTTGAGTCCTTCTTAACCTTATGGTCAGGTTTAAGAAACGTTTCAGTTATAACGGCAATATGCACGTTATGAACTCTCAAAAAGTTAAATAGCTCGTCTTCATTATCTTTAAGAGATCGAGCATTCCAATTAAAAAAATTTTAAAGCTTTAAAATCCATTACTGAATTTTAAAGTCATGACAATATTATTAGCAAATTTTACTCCAGTTTGAATAGCATCAAACATGAAGTTAGATTTAAGCATATCAGAAATCATGTCAATTAATGATTTCTGTAAAAATTCCATTTTAGGGGCAGTAATGCTTCCTAGGTCAAAATTGCCAAAATTTCCGTTAGAACGTTGGTTAGTATTTTGATTTCCACCCGCTGCAATAGCAGCATAGGTAGCTCCATTAACTCGCTGAACATTGTTAGCAGCGAGGGGCGTAGGTACAGATGAAACATTTGAAGCAGGGGTGATATTTGTACCTACGGGTACGAATGTAGAATTTGTTCCTCGCTGACCGTTGTTAACAGCAGAGGAATTTGTACCTGGTCGGAAACGTGGAGCGTTTCCTACCTGTCGGTTA